GCAGGAGTGTGGGGTTTGCCCCTCGTCACCCCCTCTTTTCCGCCTCCTCCTCGTTTTGCTTGGCGGAGCGGGGGCTGCGGCTCCCGGGACCCGCGCGGTCACGTGACGCCCCTCGCGGCTGTGGGCCAAACGCTCCGCCTGCGCCGCTTTTGCCAGATTTCCTCAGGGGTGACCTTTCCTGGTTTCGGAAACACCCAAACATCTGTAATTTAGGTATGTTGAGGTTGTCTGAGGAGGACAGGCAGCTGCCACAGCTTTGAAGCAGGAACGTTCACAGAGCCTGAGGCAGCCAAGGTGTGAAGACAGCCCCGGCCAGGTGACAGTTAGGGAACAGTCACCCCGTGTGAACTACGGCGTGTGAACTACAGGGAGCGTGGTCCACGGTGTAACTATGTAAGGGGGCCGGGTGGGACTAGAGCCAGGGGTGGGCAAACTTTTTGACTCGAGGGCCACAATGGGTTCTTAAGCTGGACCGGAGGGCCGGAACAAAAGCATGGATGGAGTGTTTGTGTGAACTAATATAAATTCAAAGTAAACATCATTACATAAAAGGGTACGGTCTTTTTTTTTTTTTTCAGTTTTATTCATTTAAAACGGGCCGTAGTTTGCCCACGCTGGACTAGACTAACCCAGGAAGCTCACCTCATCTCTCTATATAAAAGCCTAAGTGGCCGGTCCATCAGTCGCTATGACATGCACTGACCCCCAGGGGTCAGAAGCTCACCGCAGGAGCTGCCCCCTGGTGGTCAGTGTCCTCCCACAGCGGGAGTGCCATTCAGCCAGAAGCCAGGCTCACAGCTGGCGAATGCTGCTGAGGCAGCAGAGCCTCTCCCGACTCCGCAACAGCGGCACCGAGCCCCGTGCTACCCAGCAGCTGGCTCAGACTCCTCCCTGGCTGCCTGCCGCTTGGCACACTGCTACATCCCCCAGGGGATGTCCGACTGCCGGTTTAGGCCCCATATATATATATATATATATATGAAAACTGGCAGTCAGACATCGCCCCAGATGGCGAGGGGGTGCAGGCCAGGCTGAGGGACCCTGCACAAATCCGTGCACTGGGCCTCTAGGAAGTTGTATAAATATCCAACCACCATGCTATACACCTGAAACTAATAATATTGAATGTCCATTGTAATTGAAAGCTAAAATAATTCAAAAAATAAAGTAAAAGTGATGGAAAAGAAAAAAGGGGGCGGGGCTTTCCGATAGGGAGAATTAGGTTCAAATTCTGCGCTGACTCCTTGGGTGTACATGGGAGGCAGGCTTGAGCCTATTTTTCTATTTGGCCCCTGGGTTTTCTGTGAAGGGAAGATCCTGACAGTGATATGATTCAGAACATAATTATGAATATCAGGTTTTACTCCGTGTGCCTAGGAGCTTTTGAGGGGGTTTGGAACTTTCTCCCTCTAAACTCAAGGCTGTGTTCATAAACCCCTGAAGCCGCCTTATTAGGGGTTTTCTCTCTGTTGTTTCCAGATGTCGCCTGGGAATAGACGGGGCCACAAGTCAACAGCTTCTCAGAAATGTTCTCAAGATTTTTGTCCTAAAAGTGGCCAAAGAGCTTTCCTGTAAACCAGGGGTGGGGAACCTTTTTTACGACCAAGGGCCAGTTGATATTTATAACATCATTCCCGGGCCATGCAAAAGTATCCACTTAAAAATTAGCCTGGTGTATTTGGTCAAACATTTAATTAACTCACCCTTAATGCCTTGGCAGGGCCAGACCAAATGATTTCAGGGGCCTTATGCTGGGCCGCGGGCCAGCCGTCTCCCCCCACCCCCCCGCCCCTCCCCTGCAAAGAGCCTGAACTTGAGTCTCCAGCACTTGTGGCCATCATTTGGGCCATTTGTGGGCTATTTTTTTTTGTATGCTTCCTGGTTTTCAGTGCTACAGTTGAGATGGTGAGGTTTGCAGGAATGAGATGTTGCCGTTAAAAAAATGCCACAGGGAGCAAAGGAACCTTGGAATTTAATGGCGTGACCAGGGAAAGGGTGGGGAGGCTCAGAACCTGCAAGCTTAGGTGAGGAAGACCTGAGAGAGGAGGATGGCTTCTTCTCCCCAGGTTTGTGGGTGAATGTGGGATTTTAGTTGCTTGTAGGATTCAGGTTCTATGGAGGTGGGGAAGCCAGAGCCAGATGCCTCCCTCTCTCCATGGCAATGTAGAGATTTGGGGGAAAGAAGCTGTTAACTGTACTTTTTTCTTCCTCTAGGAACAGCCTGAGTGGGGAAACGCTGCACTTACTTCTTCACCCACCTTCAGGTAAGCGGGGGAAGCAGTTTTAGCAAATTGGAAGTTAGTGTCTCCTAAGGAAACTCATCTTCAATTTTTTATTGCCGAATGATGATTTTGAAAGCTCTCCCTGGGGCATGCCTGCCTTTCCCTCCCCCCATGCGTTAGTTACCATTACCTTCCTCACTCCCAAGCTCCAAGTGCCCTTCCTTTATCTCTATAACTTGTTTCCTCAGCCCATTTCTTCTAGGAGTTACTTTTTCTAGCTCTGTGATTTTACAAATAAATGTTCTCTTATTGAAAACAAAACAAAAACAATGGAACTACTTTCTCTTTGAAATGACAACAAAGTCAGAAAAACAGATTTTAGGTACAATCGTCATTAAGCTACTAATCTGGGAACTATTTGTCTCCCTCAACCCCAAATGGTATATACATATGAACAGGTGGATAAATAATAAATAAGTGAATTAGTGAAGAAATTACACCCCCTTCCAGGCACATGGTAGGTCTTCATTCAGAAGGCACTCCACAGTGTTGAATGCATAAATGAAGAAATTAAGGGTTCCATTCCAGTTCTCCTTGAATGCAGAAAGAGTAACTATGACTGCAGGTCTTATTCAGTGTGCAGATTTTATTTCTTCATCATGAAGGTTAAGAATGTATGAACTTTAAGGCATGGCCCTTGAGCATTTTAACAAACAGCAGAGGCATGGGGCTGTGGGCTAAGGCTGATCCTGAGGGCATCATTGCTGCGCATTCACTCCTTCCTGACCTAGGCCCTGCTTGGTTGGAGCTCCCCCTTGGCCATTGTGTACATGACTGGTTGGCTCTGGTCTCTGCCCCTCACCCCCAACAGTCTCAGCAGGGATTACGTGCATTAGACCCTACAAATGATCTCTGTGACTGTTTTCTCAGTTTTCTCAAGGATGATACATAAGCAGTCATATTCTAGATACATAGGAAGAAGTTAATTTATAATAGACCATGGATGCCTTGGGGCATTAGCACTTAATTCCCATAGAACTTCAGTTGAGAGAGGCTGGAATAGATACTTTGCCTCAACTTAAAATAGACCTTCGATCTGAACAGAAAAGCCTTTCACACTCTTCTCAGCAATACATCTCCTTCCTCCTCAAAACCTTGCCTAATATTTACTAGGTCCTGGAAATCTTTTCTTTCTTAAGCCCGTACCTGCTACAGCGAGGATCACTGAGTGAAAGAGGTGAAGGAAATAGGGAAGGCCCCAGCTCAAACACACCTGGTTCAAATGCTAGCTCTGCTACTACCACCTGCATACTTGGGACAACTTATGAGCTTCAGTTTACTCATCTATTAAATGAATATTAAAGAGACAAAGCTTTTAGTTCCATGACTGCTGCATAGAAGGCTATTTGTGTTATATATACAGTGGGGCAAACGTAGATTTACAGTTGTTCATATGGAAAAGAATACAATAATAACAATACAAGAATAAACTGTTTTGCATACTCACAACTATAAAGCTACTTTTGCCCCACCCTATTACTGTATGTAACAAACCACCCCAATATTCAGTGGCTTGAAAAGAAGCAGCCATGTATCTGCTCATGATTTAATTTGGGCAGGACTTTGCAGGGACAACTAGTCTCTACTCCACAAGAAGTAGACTGGGCTTGACTATGGCTGAAGGGTCTAAGAGTCTTGGTGTCTAGAGCCTTGGCACTGTCTGTCAGCTAGGGTTTGGTTGTCCTGTATGTGGCCTCTAATAATTCAGTAATCTACCCTGAAATTCTTTACATGGGAGCCAACTTGGAAAAACAAACAGAAACTACTAGACTCCTTAAGGTCTAGAACTGTTCCAGCATCATTTCCGCTGCATTCTTTTAGTCAGAGCAGGTTGCATAGTCAGCCCAGATTCAGAGGAAGAGAAATAGATGCCAACTCTTATTTTAGAAAAAGAGAGAGGAAGGGAAGTAGGGAGGGAGAGAGGAAGGTGAGAGTGAAGGAGGTCGGGGGGGTGGTGGGGAGAGAAGAGAGAGAGAGAAAGAAACAGAGAAACTTCGATTTGTTGTTGAAAGAGGAGTCTGTTCCACTTACTCATGCATTCATTGGTTGATTCTTGTATGTATCTTGACTGGGGATCGAACCCACAACCTTGGCATTGGGATGATGCTCTAACCAACTGAGCTACCCAACCAGGGCAATGCTAACTCTTGATCACCATGCCCAACCTAGGATGGGAGGAATTGTTGCTGTCTTTTGCAGATTCCATCACAGAATGCCTTTAATATGTTATTTGTTATAAGAATAAAAACAAATGTAAGCAAGAACACCTCACCTTAATTCTTTCCCTGGGCTTAATAAGAATATGCTGCAATTTCTTCAGTGTCTTCAAGCCCTCAAGTCTTCGTGCTCTGTCTCTAATTAGCTAGGTATGTATTTATGTATCCTGCTGTCTGGATGTGCCTCCTGTTGTTATCCAACTTTTACTGGGAAGCCCAGAGAGAAAGAGGCAAGTTACCTTCGGCATCTCTTTCAGCACCT